GATTTGTGAAGTAGGCTTATGCCTTGTGCCTCTATTAATTGGCAATTAGTGAAGAGGGCTGAAGCCCTGTTGGTACCACATGCATATGCACAGTTGTGTCGCATTTGAATTGAATTTTAAATCGCTAATGATAATTGTGAATGTTTATTGATTGTTGTGTGTTGTTGAGAAGCGATAAAATTCATAATGTTCTTGTCCAATATATTAATTATCATAATCTTATTTATATTATTCAATGTCTCACCCCTTTATTTGTTTCGTCGTTGCCTTTATACTGGTAACGTGCAGGTAACGAGAAGTAGAGACTTAGTAGCTTGTTGGTGTCGTCGCTCTGATACGTAGCACTCGGGGGGATGAACGCTTATTCGATTTTATGATGTTTTCAGTTTAATCCAAGTTGTTTTTTTAAGAAGTTGTTTTCTTTGAGTTAAGTTGTTTAAAAGATGCTATGTTTCTTTTGAAGTTTTAAAGTTATGAATCCGCTGCATATTTATGGAATCAAGTTGAAATAACTTTGAAGACTAATTAATTGTTATAAGTTCTTTGGATTAATATGTGCTATGTATCTATTATGATAGGTTTTTATGTTGTTGGTTTTTGAAATGAGAATATAATGCCTCGTGTTTGCAGAAATTTTGGCACTCTGATTTTAATATAACTGTGGGGTAGATTTGGGGTGTTACAAGTATCTCCATGGCTTCTATGTGCTCTCTTTGTTGTGAGGTGGCTGAATCTTTTCAACTTTTTATTTTTTATTACAAATTTTCCAAAAGACTTTGGAGTTGGCTGATGCAAAAATTCCAAATTTCAAGTAACCCTAATTCTATAGTTGGTTGGCTGGAGATCAGTAGCTGAAACAAATCCATGTAGACAACTTTTATTTTTAATATGGCTGTCACTAATACAATATTTAAGATATGACAGGCCAGAAACAATGCAAAACACAACATGCACAAGACTACTCATGATACTGCTATAATTTGGATTTTATTTCTGGTTCAACTTTTGGGTAACTCAACATCAAAATTTGCTTATATCAATATGTTAGATTTTTATTTTATTAAGGCATTTAAAGTCAACATACACCTCCCCAAAGCCCCCCCTACCAAAGAGGTTATTTGGGTTCCTCCGGTTCTCAGTTGGTACAAGTGTAATTGTGGTGGTGCTTTCATCCATGTCAATTTCAAAGGTGGTGGATGTGGTATTTTTAGAAACCATAAGGGAGATTTCCTTCTGGCTTTTGCGGATAATCTTTCTTGTGTTTCTTCTATTCACACGAAATTCAGAGTTGTGATCAGAGCTATGAAGATCAATATTAATAGGGGTTAGTCTAAGCTTTGGGTTGAAGTTGACTCTATTTTGGTGGTCCAAGCTTTCTCCAACCACAAGTTAATCTCTTTAACCTTTAGAAACCTTTGGCGTTTTCGCCTCCTTTAGAATATATTTTCTCATATAATTTTCACTCACATTTATAGAGAAGATAATTCTTGTGCCGATTTTTTGGCGAATTGCGCGCTTGCCATTATTTCTACCGTCATTTTTGATTCCTCGCCTTCGGGTATTCGAAATTATTTTGTAAATAATAAGTTAGGTATATCTTTCTTTAGGTTCTCGTAATCTTTGAGACTAACTTGTTCCCCTTTTGTAGCATTTTCTTTTGTTATGATCCTTATTAAAAAAAAAGTTTAAAGACTTGCTCAAAATCTTAGTTATTTATTATTTATATTCTCAAGTGAGCAAAATATCTTTAAAAATAATTATACGAATAAAATCAACATCATATATAAAGAAATAATATATACAATGATTAAAGATTAAACTTCTATATTAAATAAAATAATTAGATCAAAATTATACATAGTGATTGAAGATTATATTTGTACCGACTACTCTAATTTTTAAGAAGTAATTAAATTAAAATTTCTATATCAAATATTTATATCGGTAAATGCACTTTACTTTTATTAAAATAAATAGCATTTAAAAAATTAAAAACTCTTTTATGATAAAAAAATATTAATTTTAAATGTTAAATATATAAAAAAAATTAGACTTTTAAATACGCAAGACAAATGAACTGAACCTAATGAGTAGAACTAAATTTTGTATGAAATTTAAATGAATTGAGTTTGAGTTTTAAAAAAATCATGTCGAACTCGAGTTGAATTTTAAATTGAACCAATTCTTATTAAATCAAATCAAACTAAAGCGAGTCTGACTTGACTTACCACCAACCCTACTTTTAACTATCAAACAAAGTTAATATTAAAATAGTGCTTCCTTGAAATTTCTATCGTTAAGATACAAATTATGGACGATAATATAAATAAATTAAATGATCAAGTGTTAGATAAAGTGAAGTTGATATCTTTTTGGTGGATAAAGACTAAAGATACTATGTGTATTATTGGATCTCATTTGTGGTGGCATAATCTCTTTATTTGTACGAGGTTAAGATGATTTTGTATCCTTTAGTGTATTGTTTTTGTTATAAATTCTTACGAATCTCTTTAATACATCTTGTGTTGTGTTAGATGATCATTATTATTATTAATTCATTTTGATTTCTTAAAAAAAATATGAATTATGAATGGTAACATAAATAAATTTAATGCAAGAATCAAAATAATTTATTTATTTATTATAATTTATTATAAAATTCTGTAAAAAATTCAATCCAATTCGTCCATTATTCATAAAAGTAATTTAATAAATCTATTAACATATTTTTAATGGACAAATAACTAACCATCCCATCAATCTATAAATATATTTTAAAAGGTACATTTTAATAAAATTATATTTTGAATGATAAACATTTTTTATAGATTAAATTTATTAAATAAAAAAACAATTTTTTAGTTTGTGTAAAATTGAACTTTTAAATAAAAAAAGTAAAATTACAACTAAACATTAAATTTAAATATTTAAATAAATTTTTAATTTAATAATAAATTATTAAAAATCAACCTCGATCAAAGTCGAAGTGCGATGGCTGTTGGCGACATTGCTTTTATGACCTACGATGTTTAGAGCATGTATATCATAATGCTGATAGGTGAATGAAATATGAATAATTGATTTGCGATGATTTATAAAATAAGAATATTAAGTTTATATATTAATATATAATATTGATGTAGAGTATAAATTTGAATATATTGTGTGGTTTGTGTGATTTGGTTCAAATATTTTTTATATATTTTATTAATATTTAAAAAATATAATTGATTTTTTTTTAAAAAATTAAGAAGCTTGAGTTCGTTTAAAAATTATAGAAATGTATAGTAAAAAAATTTACACTCAGTATATCACCGTCATTCATATATGATATTTTGAATGTCATTAAACTAAAAATGAAATATTTATAATAATTTATCAATTATAAATAATTAAATTTAAAATTAAAAAAAGTTTATTTAAATTATATGAATGTTATAGATATGGATGTTTTTTGCGATAGACTTTCAATGACATGTGACATAGTTGTGGGATTGATCACCATCATCCGGGGGATAGATTCTCTCCTATGAAATTAATTTTCAGTGAGATCTCAACCCTTCCTTATTTCAAAAACATGCAATTAATTAATTGAAAAAAATAATTGAAAGGTGGAGATTTACACTGGACACCATCCAGTAAAAATATCACTGGAGACAATCCATCCTTCGTCATCCTCAGTATAAGGATGAATTGATTCTATTCATATTTTTTTAATAGATAAATTGAATTCATTCTATTATTTATTTTTATGTTTGGTGGATAGACTCGATGTATTAATATATAGACGAATTAAAAGATTAATTTTTGTGTATTGTTAATATAAAACCCTCTTTTATATATATATATATATATATATATATATATATATATATATATATATATATATATATATATATATATATATATATATATATATATATATATATATATATATATATATATATATATATATATATATATATATATATATATTAATACATCGTAACAAAGGTTTATTGGTTCACTCTCAGCGTATATTAAATTTTTTATACCACACAACTTTTTAAAAGGTGTTTGTTTTATGAGTGTAAAACTTAATTCCAATAATATTATTTTGTTTGAATTCTTTTCTTTGTTATTAATTATAATTATAATTTTCAAAAGAGAAACAAAACAAAAACAAAACGAAAGCTTTGTTCCAAGAAATTTATTTTACTAAATAATTAACAATTTTAATATTTAATATTTAAATTATAAATACATATAAATCTAATTTAAATGGTAGAGCAAATTCCGAGAGCAATATTTTCTTTCTTAATTTGAATAATTAATATTAAAATTATAAGCGTGTGTAAGTCTAATTTAAAGGATAGAACGAATTTCAATTGCAATACTTTCTTTTTCCATATGTTAGTTTTATCAATAAATATTTTTGGTAAACATTAAAATTGTAGACTAACATCCTAGAAGTATTTTTAAGCTCCTAAGACTCTCTTTTTCTTGAAGAAAAAAAAATAAAAACCAATTTAACCGTTATTAATTTAATTTATCTCAAAAATAATTTGATTTAAATTTGAAAAATAGTTAAACATAATTAATTATTTAAATCAATATAAAAAGATATAAGTTGGCGCTAGGTGTGCCTTCTATATTTATCATATTAATATATTAACATAAAATAAATATATGATTTATAATTCTTATTTTCCAGTAATGCAATATGCTTGCATTTTTAGTATTAGTATAAATGAATTAAAAAATATATAAATAATTAAAAATCGAAAAACATTTAGGTGAAATTTTGTAAAATTAGAATAACAATAAAATATTTCTATATTAATAAAAATAATGTCCATAATTGATTTAAATTTAATATTAGAAATAATGAATTTTTTTACTAGAGCATGTACATAAATAAGGACACAAGGGTAACATATGCACACACACAATCTTTATTATCGTTCTTCATTTCTAAACTCGTATTCTCTATTTTAGTCGATAAGTTCTGTGAATTGATCATGGGTCGTCGCAAAATTGAGATTGAGATGGTGAAAGACCCCAATACAAGACAAGTCACTTTCTCGAAACGTCGAACAGGCTTATTCAAAAAAGCAAATGAATTATCAATTTTGTGTGGAGCTGAAGTGGCGATTGTTGTGTTTTCTCCAGGTAACAAACCATATTCTTTTGGTCATCCAGGAGTTGATGTTGTTGCAGCCAACTATCTCCAACAAGAGAATATAAATATATCAAATGATTCTCAAAGAAACGCCTCTTTTGATGCTCCCACTATGGAAAATTTGAATCAAGAACTTAATGAGGTATTAGCCCAAATTCGGGAAAGTGAAAAACAAATTGAGAAATATGATGAGATTTTGAAGAAAAATGATGTGAAAAAACTCTTTGAACTTGAAGTATTGAAAGATTCATATAAACAATTTCAAGATTTGGTGAAATTACGTCTTAGTGATCTTAAAATATCAGAATATTTGATGCTTCTTGCTAAAGATCCCGTGGTAGGAGTAAAGGCGAAACCTGCAAGAAAGAAAAGAAGAAAAAATTAATGCGTTGTAACTTAAAAAATAATTTTATTTTATGCTCTAATTTATGTTTCCCTTGTCTTTTGTTATATGAAAAAATGAGAGTTGAATAAAGTGTTGCTTGTTTAATTTTTTTGAATAAATAAAATTTGGTTCTTTAAATTTTACAATATTTGTACTGGATTTTTATGGTATTACTAGTGGTATACCTTCGCACACGTACTAGTATGATGTGCACGATTTTGTTTTCAAAATGTAATAAAAATGTAAATAAGAAAAACAAATTTGTTTTACAATTTTTTATTTATAATTTTTATAAAAAAATACTTTTAAAATAAAAACAAAACTATTTACTAAAAGAGTTTATTATTTATAAAAACAAAGATGTTTTACCAAAATTATTTTATATCAATAATATATATTTTAACTTTTATATATTAAATTAAAAGTAATTTCGAAATAAAAATACTAGTAATATAAATAATTAAAAAATAATTTATTTTTTCCATGTTTGAATTCGTATATAATTTTAAATATTTTTATTTTTTTTAATTATACAAAAAATAAAATAACTGTGCGTTTGTATAGATATTAGCGTGGTACACACACTTTTATTTTTAAAATACAAATAAAATAAAAAAAATTATTTTACTAAAATAATTTATTATTTAAAAAAAATATTTTTAAAATAAAAGAAAGACATATTCATAATATATATTTCAATTTTTCATATATTATCTTTAAAAAATAATATCTTAAATTAAAAATAATTTCAAAATAAAAATATTAGATACATGAAAAATTAAAAAACAATACATTTTTGTGTGTGTTTGAATTCATACTTTATTTTAAATATTGTTATTTTTATTTATTTAATTGTATAAAAATTATAATAACTCATGGATTCGCATAAATTTTGACTTGAACACAGTGGGTTCGTATGAGTACTGACCCATTACACATATATTTTTAAATTGTATAAAAATTATAATAATCCGTGAATTCAAATTTTTAATATGAATACTAATACGTGTGTACGAGTACGGGTGTATTCATTATATTATTATTTATTTTGAAGTTCATATAATTGATTCAATTTATAAAGTATTTATTATTATAAAATTCACACAATTAGTAAAATGAAATATATAATTTTAATGTTATTTAATTTATGCATTATTTATGCATGTTTGTCTATTTTGTTTGTCTCATTGATTTCTATATTAGTAACATAAATGGTGGTAAAAAATATAATATTTTTTCGTGCTACATTTAAGCATATTTAATTTTAAACTTTAAAGGAAAAGAAAAACTATATTTATTTAGTAAAAATTTAAAATATCATAAAAAACAGATATTTTTTTCTCTAATCCAATTTAAGTTTTTGTGTGTATATATTTTTTAAATCTTGTAAAATGTAACATGTAATTTTAAATGATCATTTTTAAAATCAAATGACAAATGATCATTTTATTTTATGATTGTCAAAATTCTATCAATTTAATTAATATTTTTTTTAAAATTTGAAATATAAAAAATACTAAAGAAAATTTCTCTCTGAAAGTGTGCGCATACCTCCTTCTCCTTGTATTTCAACCAATATGATTAATTCCATTAAGATACTCATTAATGGTTTTTATTTTAAAAAAAAAAACTTCAATCGAATTAATTATAAAAATATCTTGACTGTCATGATAATAGTATTAAATTATTAATATTGTTAAAACAATAATGTATAATACATATTTAGCAATTATTAATATTATTAAAACAATAATATATAATTCATAATCAGTAATTATTAGTATGTAATACATAGTAAAAATACATATTCTATTATTTTTAAAAGTTATCCCGAATAATAACTTTGTTTTATATATATTTAAAAAAACTATTTTTTAAAATTTATTTTTAATATTTATCAACGATAAATATTTTTCTTGTAATTTATTTGTTTTTAAATTATCAGAAACAAATGTATCAATTATTATTAAATAGATCATTCATGGTAACAAATAAATCATTCATCGAAGGAAAATATTTTTAGTAAGAATAATGTCAGCCATTAAAAGATATTTTAATAATCATTAAACTAAAATAAAAAAATTAAAAAAGAACATAATTATTAATGTAAGTATTGTTAAATTGTAATTCATATGTGTCAAAATAAGATTTGATTTGTTTAGATTTAAATAGATTTGAATTTAAATCTAGATTAGATTTGATTTAGTAAAGAGATATTTTGGGCTTGGGTTTAGTTTAGAGAGCAAGCTAACCTAAATCTATAAATAGAGGGAGTAACTCCTATTTTGTATTTAAGTCATTGAACTCATTCACAGTATTTTGCAGTTGCAAAGTGAATTAATAAAGTTTCCACAGTTTGTGGGCAGAATAGAAATTCTGCAGAAATATCTCCATTGTTCTTTTATTTGTTTGTCATAACTAATCATCAGTGGTGGTCGAAATTCATCATAGAGTATTGGTGGATTTCCAACATCTGGTATCAAGAGCTTGTGTTACGATTCAAGGGAAGTATCAATCAAGAACGATTGAAGAATTCACGATGACAAGTTATGGGAATGCAAACTATCCAGCAACGCTGCCAATTCTGAAAGTTGACAACTATGAGAATTGGTGCAAGCAGATGAAAGTCCTATTAAGGTGTCAAGGCCTTTGGGACCTTGTAAAAGATGGAGTCGAAGCGCTTGGCGAAAACGCTTCAGAAGAAGAAAAGAAGAAATACACAGAATCTGAGAAACAGAGTTATAAAGCATTGTTTATAATTCATCAATGTGTCAGTCCAGACAATTTCGAGAAGATTGGTGATTCAGAATCTGCAAAAGAAGCTTGGGAGATCCTGGAGAAATCTTTTGGAGGCGCTGAGAAGGTGAAAGAAGTGAGGTTACAAACTCACAAAAGGACCTATGAACTGCTTCAGATGGAAGACAGTGAAAACATATCTGATTTCTTCACTAGAGTTACAAAACTAGTGAATCAAATCAAGACATGTGGAGAAGCATTAACAACAAGAGTTGTTGTTTCGAAGATCTTGAGATCCTTAGCTCATAAGTTCGACCACATAGTGGTGGCGATCGAAGAGGGGAAAGACTTGTCGAAATTGACAAAGGAAGAGCTTCAAGGGACGCTCGAATCTCATGAACAAAGAATGAACGAAAGGGCTGCAGGAAAATCGAAGAGTGATGTGGCCTTGCAGGCACATTCAGCAAAAGAGACCAAAGGCAAAGGAAAGTATTTCGACAGAAGTAGAGGTGGCTACAACAAATCGAATGGTAGAGGAAACCAAATCGAAGGAGACGTGTCAAATCAAAGAAGACCACACCAAGGCAACCAAAGAGGTGGTGCTGCAAACAGAGGAAGAGGTGGTGGTCGAAAACCTGATAAGAGTCACATTCAATGTTACAATTGTCAGAAGTATGGTCACTATTCAAGTGATTGTCCAGAAAAACGAAAGAATCAAGAAAGTGATGCAAAGCTTGCAAAACATGAAGAAGAAGAAGAGATAATGCTAATGGTCACAACAAGAGATGAAGACAGATTCAAGGACCAATGGTACTTGGATTCAGGATGTTCATCACATATGTCTGGAAGGAAAGACTGGTTCGTCAATATAAAACCCTCAACGAAGAATATGGTAAAATTTGCAAATGACAACACACTAGCAGCTGAAGGTATTGGTGATGTTATGATCATGAGGAAAGATGGCAAGAAGTCAGTAATTTCGAATGTATTGTACATACCAGGCATGAAGAGCAATTTGCTCAGTATAGGGCAGTTGGTCGAAAAGAATTATAAAGTGTCAATTGAAGATAAGTTGATGAGAGTCGTTGATACAAATGGGAGATTAATCTTGAAGGCTCCTATGTCTCAGAATCGAACCTTCAAGATTGAACTAAACGTGATGGAACACAAGTGCCTTTCGACTGCAGCTAGCAGAGATGAATGGATATGGCACTATAGACTAGGTCATCTCAACTTCAGAGACATTAGAAATTTGAAGAGAAGAAATATGGTTTCAGGATTGCCTGAAATTGACATTCCAAACGAAGTATGTGAAGAATGTGTGCAGGCGAAGCAACACAAGAACAACTTCAGCAAAGATGCAGGAAGCAGATCGAAGGCTAATCTCGAAGTCATATACTCTGATGTATGTGGACCAATTCAGGTGGATTCGATGGGAGGTAACAAATAATTTGTTACATTCATAGATGATTTCAGTCGAAAGCTATGGACTTACCTGATCAAGAAGAAAAGTGAAGTGTTCGAAGTATTTATCAAGTTCAAGTCCATGGTCGAAAGACAAAGTGGTCGAAAGCTCAAAGTTTTGAGAACTGATGGTGGAGGAGAATATGTGTCGAAAGATTTCGACAGATTATGTGAAAAAGAAGGGATTGTGCATGAGGTGGTGCCACCCTATACTCCACAGCAAAATGGAATTGCAGAAAGGAAAAATCGAACCATCATGAACATGGTGAGAAGTATGTTGAAAGGAAAGAATTTACCCAAAGAGTTCTGGGGTGAAGCTGTTTCGACTGCAACATACATTTTGAACAGAAGTCCTACAAAGAAGCTAGAAGGAATTACTCCAGAAGAATGTTGGTTTGGTGTGAAGCCTAGCTTAAGTCATCTGAAAGTATTTGGATCTATTGCACATAGACATGTGCCAGATCAGTTGAGAAAGAAACTTGATGACAAGTCAAGTCAAATGATCTTAGTTGGATATCATTCGACGGGAGGCTACAAATTGTTCGATCCAGAGAACAAGAAGATTGTGATCAGCAGGGACGTGATCATAGATGAGTTCAAAGAATGGGATTGGACTACAAATGTCAAGAAAGATTCAGTGGGAATCTTATTCGAAGAGCCAGAAACTCAAGTCGAAAGAGAAGTTCGACAAGAGGAGCCAGCAAATACACCCAGTACAAGCAGACCTCAAAGAACAAGACGCATGCCTGCAAGATTGCAAGATTGTGTGATTACATCAGACGATGTGATAGATAATGAAGGTGAGCTGGTACATTATGCATTCTATGCAGATGTCGAACCTGTTAATGCAGCTGAAGCATTAAAGGATTCGAAGTGGGTGAAAGCAATAAACGAAGAAGTAAAGTCTATCGAAGACAACAACACTTGGTCACTTGTCAAATTGCCTCAAGGCAAGAAGGCAGTTGATGTCAAGTGGGTATACAAAGTGAAGACGAATTCGAAAGGTGAAGTAACTCGACACAAAGCAAGACTTGTGGTGAAAGGATTTCTACAGAAAGAAGGAATAGACTTCGACGAAGTTTTTGCACCTGTTGCTAGGATCGAAACAATCAGGTTGGTTGTTGGTCTAGCAGAAATCAACAGTTAGCACATATGTCAGATGGACGTGAAGTGTGCATTCTTAAATGGACCCTTAGATGAAGAAGTCTATGTTAAACAACCAGTTGGGTTTGTGAAACATGACGAAGAAAGAAAGGTGTATAGGCTACATAAAGCCCTGTATGGTTTGAAACAAGCTCCAAGGGCTTGGAATAAGAAAATTGATAGTTTTCTAAGGGAGAAGGAATTTGTGAAGCGCATAACTGAACATGGAGTATATGTAAGAAGAAGCAAGAGTAAATTGCTTATACTATGTCTCTATGTAGATGATTTGTTGATAACAGGTAGCTGCAAGAGTGAGATCGAAGACTTCAAAGTTGACCTCAGCAAGGAATTCGAAATGTCTGATTTGGGTGAGATTTCATATTTCCTTGGTATCGAATTCTACAAGAGCAGTAGAGGTTTGATGATGCATCAAAGAAGATATGCAGGAGAAATTCTCAAGAGGTTTGAGATGGAAGAATGCAACTCAACTTCGACACCTGCAGAACCAAGACTGCAATTGTCGAAAGATGCTGATGAAGATGATGTTGATCCAACCCAATACAGAAGACTTATTGGATCATTGAGATACCTTTGTCATACAAGGCCTGACTTAGCATACAGCGTAGGTATGGTAAGTAGATTCATGCAGAAGCCAAAGGTATCACATCTAGCAGCTGTGAAGAGGATATTAAGGTATCTTAAAGGAACTTTCGATTATGGCATTCTGTTTCCTGCAGTTGATAAAGGAAAAGAATGCAAGTTAGTGGGATACACTGATTCGAGCTGGTGTAGTGATGCTGAAGATCGAAAGTCAACAGCAGGATATGTGTTTATGCTAGGTGGTGCAACAATTGCTTGGAGTTCGAGAAAAGAACCAGTAGTAGCATTATCATCATGTGAAGCAGAATACATAGTTGCTTCTCTTTGTGCATGTCAAGCAACCTGGATGGTGAACTTGGTCGAAGAGATAACAGAAAAAATCATGGAGAAATTACCATGAAGATAGACAGCATGTCAGCTATCAATCTGGCGAAGAACCCAATAGCACATGGTCGAAGTAAGCACATCGAAATGAGGTTCCATTATCTTCGAGAGCAGGTAGCAGATGGGAAGATGAATTTGGAACACTGCAGAACTGAGAATCAGATTGCATACATCATGACGAAGGGAGTGCAGGTCGAAGTATTCAGAAAGCTAAGGGCCATGATGAACATAGACAGTTTAGACACAATGAATTAGGTGGTGTGTTAAATTGTAATTCATATGTGTCAAAATAAGATTTGATTTGTTTAGATTTAAATAGATTTGAATTTAAATCTAGATTAGATTTGATTTAGTAAAGAGATATTTTGGGCTTGGGTTTATCTTAGAGAGCAAGCTAACCTAAATCTATAAATAGAGGGAGTAACCCCTATTTTGTATTTAAGTCATTGAACTCATTCACAGTATTTTGCAGTTGCAAAGTGAATTAATAAAGTTTCCACAGTTTGTGGGCAGAATAGAAATTCTGCAGAAATATCTTCATTGTTCTTTTATTTGTTTGTCATAACTAATCATCAGTGATGGTCGAAATTCATCATAGAGTATTGGTGGATTTCCAACAAGTATTGGAGTTAAAAGGTTGAATAAATTTGTAAAATAATATTTTTAATATACAAGAATAATATAATAAAAGTACTTCAGTGGGGTGTGAGATAAGTGTGGTGAGAAACAAAATCTAAAAGTAGAATTAAAAAAAGAGTACTAAATAAACATGGGCCGTATTGGGCTTTAGGTCAAAACGGGTACCCGTTAACAATTAGGGTTTATATAAGAAGAAACATCCATTTGTTGAGAGATTTCTTAGGAGGCGAGGAAGAACCCTTTTGGAGGACTACAACCACTCAATGGTAGGTTCGAGTTGAATTCGATAATTTGCAGCGAATAATCTGTAATGATTAGTGTTTTAAATTGTGGTAATTTCAGGCGAAGCAGATCCATGAGATCAAGGATTTTCTGTTGACGGCGCGTAGAAAGGATGCGAGATCAGTGAAAATCAAGAGGAGTAAGGATGTGGTGAAGTTCAAGGTTCGTTGCTCGAAGTATTTGTACACACTTTGTGTGTTTGATACTGACAAAGCTGATAAGTTGAAGCAATCTCTTCCTCCCGGTTTGACTGTTCAAGATCTGTAGATCAAGTTTGATCGTTTAGTTCTTTGTTACGTTTTTGAAATTTTTGAACTCTAGGATTTGTGACCTTGGTTTTGTTTTTGTATTTGATGCCGCTATATGATTGTTTTTGAGTTGCTATGAGATTTGGATATGGTGTTTCACAGTTTAAGATTTATTTTATTTTATGACTATAGAATATGGCCATTAGCAGATTTGTTGGTTATACCATTTGAAATTTGTGTTATGCATAGGAATGTTCATAATCTGTTTTAAATTAATTTGCCAGTTGCAAATTAACTTGGATATTTCTATGAAGGGTTTAGGTTTACATCATTGTAGAGGTTTTGGTTGTTCTGTTTGATTATCTTAATAATGGTATAGCTGTGTTTGGGTAGGACTATATGAGTGTTGTATATCAGATGTTATGAAATGGTATACAGTGTTTTGGTTGTTTCTGTTGGATGGGAGGGAGTTAGTTATTTCAATTTTTTTATTTTTGGTTAATTTTAAAAATTCTAGAAGCGGAGCAAAAATACTAAAATCCCTTTTAGTTTAATTTGGGCTTCTGTTGTGTAATTTGGATTTCACAGTTGTGTTTAATGTTTCTTAGATGATTGACTTAATTGTCTGAAGGTATATTTGCTCACATTTTTTGAATGTTACATGACATAGATTTGCTCACATGTAGTTTTCAAAAGTAGAATGCAATGTTCTTTAGATGCTGCTTGATGTATTTGCAGATGTTTGAGATTATCTAACACTGAACCCAAGAGGCACTAAAAACAAGTCCGGTAATTAACAAACAAACTGTTTGGTGCTTGGCGCGTTCTACATTAACCCAAGATGTACTTAATTAACAAGTCCGGTAATTAATTAACAAGTGCGCGTTCTATAGAATGGAATGTTCTTTAGATGTTACTAGCAAAAGTAGAATGGAATGTTCTTTAGACTTTACTAGCAAAAGTAGAATGGAATGTTCTTTAGATGTTACTAGCAAAAGTAGAATGGAATGTTCTTTAGATGTTACTAGCAAATCTTACTTGGTAGTTTAGATTTTGTTCATACTGTATGTGAAGTCAACTTTATGCTCACATGTTCTTTGTGCATGTTGCATCTTTATTAGTAGCTAAAGGTGGTCAACAATTACCGGACTTGTTCTTAGTGCCTCTTGGAGTCAGGGTTATATAATCTCAAACATGAAACCATATTAAACCTTGTTTTTGTTGGTCAGGATGATGTTTGAATCTTTCTCATGGTTGAAAAATCTTAAAATTGATTCTGGATAATACTACTTTCTAGGGTTTTTCATAGTATAGTTTAGTGAAAAAACCAAATTGAAACAGACCATAGTAAAAATGCATTCAAACTATATTGAATCGTTTCAATTTACTTGGAACTTAATCAAATATTAGTTTGGTACTGTTTTGAATTTCTAACTGTATTGATCGGTTAGAAGTTAATTTTTTCCAAATTGAACTATTTATTAAAGAATTGAATTATTAAATTATTTTTAATTTTTTTAAAGAAAATAGGATGATATCACTTATATCAAATAAGGTATCTATACCACTAAAAATATAATTATTCGACATTATTATTTTAAGTTTGATATATTACACATCTATAATAATGGAGAGTACTATTTTAAGTTTGATATTTTGATAGATACCTTTAAATGAAAATAAATAATTTTATTATTTATATTATTCATTATAACACTATCCTTTGGTGTTTTATTAAGTTTTTTTTGTGGAGAATCTTATGGAAACATGTTTTGTTAAAAACTCTTTAAGAAAAATTCATAGGAATAAAAAGCCTTAATAAGGAAAAAAAAAGTGATACTATTTGATTTATTTTTTAAAAATAGTCTAGTTTTAATACCAAACTAATGGAATTTTTTTTTAAAATAACTAATTTTTAAAGTTTTAATATCAAATTAATTGATTTTTTTATAAAAATAATCAATTTTTAAAGTTTTAATATTAAATACTAAACTAATCAATCTTTCTCTATAATTTTCAGTTACAGGTGGATTGTCCTTGTGAATTTGACTTACGGAGTTACCTGCGGAAAATCATTCATAGGTGAATCTGCAAGAAATATTAACTCCGGTAAAATTGAAAAAAATAAGAGGCTTCAATTCAAGTGGCGTCTTCTCTTTAATTCATTTTTTTTCTCCCATTCATTTTTTTTTCTTGAAAATTGATGTAGAGAGTGTTTTTGTGAAGAAATCTGCCATATTATCTTCCGAACGAATATATTGAATATCAACTTATTTGTTTCTTTTGAGTTTTTGTGTGAATGAGAAGAACTTTGAAGGGATATGCTTGGTTTGTAACTTTTGATGTAATATTTCATCGGGTAACCTATGCAACACTGTCTTCATTTATAATTGGATTATTATCAATTGGTAAATCATTTGAATAAGTTGTTACAAGTGTTTGCTTTTGAAATCTCAATGATATTGCAGAGAGTGTGTATATATATATATATATATATATATATATATATATATATATATATATATATATATATATATATATATATATATATATATATATATATATATATATATATATATATATATATATATATATATATATACTTGCATCTATATAATCAAGAAAAATTAGTTTTGTATTGTTAGAATAAAACAAATCAAGGTTAAATGTACCTCAGAGATATCAAAATATGTGTTTTATTCCTTTCCAATAATGTCTTTTTATAGGACATGAACAAAATCTTGCTAGTAAATTCACTACAAAAGCTATATCAAATCTTGTATATTTAGCTAGGTACATGAGTGTCCCAATGACACTAATGTATGGTACTTCGGAGTCAAGATCTTCTTCATTATATTCCTTAGATCTAAATGGATTATTTTAAGTGTTTTACCCACCATTGGAGTACTCAAAGGGTTTGTTTTGTCTATATTAAATCTTTTCAATATCTTTTATGTATAATTGGATTGATATACCAATATCCTTTATGTATAATTGGATTGATATACCAATATATTATTTTTAGTATACTCAATTTGTAACCAATGCTGAGAACCTGGTTTTTTTCAAATCTATCATTTCAAATTTTTCTTTAAGTAATCTCTTCTTCCTTAATTTTTCTAAGCTTAAATATGTTCTTGGTCCTTATAAATATCTAAATTTCATTTTTAGTCCATATTAAAAAATAACATATTTTGGTCCCTATAAAATTTTTATTCATGCAGTTTTAGTCCTTGCTATTTTTTAAAATTTTGAAAAGTGTTTAATTACCCTTAAACTTTTAAATTTTTGAATAATTTTTTCATACGTGTTTAAAATACTATAAAATATTTCTTTTACCAAAATTTAGAATTTTTTTAAATGAGATGAATTAAATATGAATTTTTTAAAATTCAAAAGATATTGATAAAAGTTATGAGAATCTCGATTTAGAAATCAAATTTTGAATTCCTTTTCTTTCGAAGAACTTTTTAAAACGTTTTAAACATGTCTGCAAAATAATCATTCAAAAATACACATCAGTTTAACTACAAAGATTAAAATTACGTGCATAATAATTTTGTAGGGACTAAAATATGCCATGTTTTTTTTATAGGGACCACAAACAAAATTTGATAATTTATAGGGATCAAAAACATATTTAACCCTTTTTTCTATTAGTTCCAATGATTTCTAAATCATCAATATAGACAACAATTATTAGAAAATCGGATATTGTTTTTCTTAAAGAAAAGCAGGAAAATAGGATTATTCTCCTAACATTCTTTCAGCAAATATTCACTTAGGCTATTATATCACATGTGCCCGTATTGTTTCAACCCATATATTGATCTTTACAATTCAATTACACACAATTCTCTAGGTTTGACGTCTCGGGCATTTTAAATCCTTATGGAGTTTTCATGTATATATAAATATCAAATGATCCATACAAATAAGCAGGAACAACATCCATAAGATACATATCAAGATTGTTAAATACCGATAAATCAATTAAATAACAAAAACTAATAACATCCATAACAGGATAATATGTTACTTCATAATTAATTTTTGGTCTTTGGTAAAAATCTTGTGCAACTAGACGAACTTTGTATTTGACAATCTCATTTCTCTCATTTTGTTTTCTTGCAAAGACCCACTTATATCCAACCGGTTTCACATTTTTTGGTATAACCACAGTAGGGCCAAATACTTTTCGATTTTGAAGAGAATTTAACTCATTATCTATCGTTCCATTCCAATTTTTCCAATCATATCTATTTTGACATTCATTCATAGTTCGGAGTTTAGGATCATCATTTTCATTCATAATTTCACATGCAATGGAGAATGAAAATATCTCATCAATATTCATACATTTCCGATTCAACAAATTTCCTGTATTGACATAACTAATTGAAATTTCGAGATCATTTTTGTTTTCAGTTTCATTATAAATGATCTCATCATCATTATATTGTGCCTCTTCGAGTGTATGTTTTTCAGTCATTGATTTATTATCATCTACAATCTTTTCAAAATCACTCTCAATCATGTTTACATGTGTCGCGGTAAAAAATCGAGGAGACCAATCTATTGACTAACTTGACTCACAAAATTAAAAAGTCACCACCGAACTTTATTGTTTCCAAGGAAAAAGGAAAAGATCAAAACCTTATATTAATATGCAATGCAAGATGTGTAACTAAAAGCAAAACACAAAGAAGAAATCTAAGGTACGGAGCTGGTTATACAAAAGGAAGGTATTAGTACCCTATGTATCTGTACTTTATAGGAACCTCTTATAATATCTGTTTTTTTTTATTAACATGGTTTGTTTGCAAAAAGAGTGTGGAGGTGAGAAAAGAAATATATTTTTATTATATTTTTGTGTTTTGAAAGACATGAAGTCTTATACCTATGTACCGATGAATAATCAAAACCTCGTAGTTCGTGGTAAAAATAACAAAAGGGTTTGTTATGGTTGATTTTAAGAGAAGAAACATTTCATCATGTTAAGGAGAATACTCAACTAATTCTATCAAAAGTATGAGAAGATGGATCTTCGCATCATTATAAGAGAAGAGCTCCAACTTGGATATAATATCAACACGTATGCCACTAAACTCCCTTAAGTGGAAAAGAATCAACATTATCTCAATCAATATCATGTATCAGTATATGTCCACCTTCTCAATTTTAATGATCATAAAAAAATAGGCTGCATCTAAACACATGTTCAATTTCCAAATTTCTCTATTTCCTCCTCTATTTTGCATGAACAAATAAATAACAACAACCAAAAACTTCATACATTTTCACGTAGTAACAACACACAAAATCTCAACCAAACAAAACATTAACAAGCATGAGAAAGGAAGAGGGAGAGAGGATACCAGACGACGAAGAATCAGAGGAAAGGAATATGAGTTTCCAATGGTCACGTGGTGGATGAGTGGTGGTTTCTGTTGAAGTTTCACGATAAATCCATGGTGGTGCATTGTTGTTTTCGGAGGTAGATTTCATGGTTGTTTCATGGAGTTGAAGCAAGGTGAGTTTGCGGTGTGGAATGTGGTCATGTTGATATGTGAGTTGATGAGTATGGTATGTGAAAAGTTTTGAGAAAAACTTCAGAGAATTAGAAGTTTAAAAAAAACAGACTTTGGTGCAACAATGAAGTTTTTATACAATTTTGTTGATGTTTCTCTCTTCAAATGTGTGTTTGATGGGTATTCAAAGTGTGTTTCGCAATGAAATGAGATCTTCTATTTATAAGAAAAGTTGAGAGATCAAGAGTTGGTTAGAATTGAAGTTTGGAGATTTTTGGTTTGGTTGAGTTTCAAATTGGAGTTTCATGAATGCCACGATTTCAATACATAGCTTGAGTGGTTCATGAGATAACATGGAGGCCTTAAGGTGTTGCTTCTAAATATTAAGATAATGTGTGATTAGAGTAGACAAAGTATGGGCTCAATGCAAAAAAATTTGGAGAAAAAGTCACTTTATGAAAATGGCTATGGAGCTTTATGACCAAATGCTCCAAGAATGAAATGTGATTTGGATAAAGGCTCAAGTCTTTCTGTAATGCATCATGGACTTGTGTAAATCATTAATTATTCCGAGATTTAGAAGCAACATAGCTTGTAAATGAAGATTTCATGGTTGAGGTATAAGTTTGGACATGAATTTGAACATGGATATGGACCTTCAATTTAGCTCTAGCATGTCAACTTCATCTCTTCGAAACATGGTGCTCAAGCAAGATAAATTCATGTTCTTGGGGTCTTTGGAAATATGGTCCCATCCTCTACAACTTTCATGTTGAGCACTTGAAGAGAATCAACTTGCATCTTAGAGAAAACTGGCCATCAAAATTGAATATTGTAACTGAAATTCTGGTATATCAGAATTCAGATGTCCTATGACATGTCGAGACATCTGATCTGAACAAAACACACAAGCAAGGTATAAAACATGCATAAACAGTACTGAAAAGTAAACAACACACCAGAATTGTTAACCCAGTTCAGAGCAACTCTCCTACTCTGGGGGCATACCAAACAAGGGATAAATTCCACTATAATAGTATCAATTCGAAGCTAAACTCTCCCGTTTACAACTTCTCACTTAATCACTACTCGTGCTAACTTTCTACCTAAGACTCACCTAGATATGAGACATTCCTTAATCTCTCATCAATCATAGACAACGATTGAACAAAACAGGAAGACACACTTTCATGATGCAAAACTAGAAGACACACTTTCATGACAATACCTAGCCAAGACTCTTGACTAAGAACACAACTTGGAGTTTCTTACGAGTTTCCTCCAAGAACAATACTCACTCTTGATTCACAGCTTCGAGGAGAGCAATCAACATTCTATACTTCATAGCTTAAGAATGAATAATAATAAAGACTTACAACTCTATAACACAGTCCAACTCACATGTCAAGTGGATCACACAAACCAACTCTCCTAAAGAGTGGCTTACATACTCAATCCTAATAACTACATCTTTTCATTCATGGTTGGTACCTTCTTCTAGGTTGTAATGCTTTTATTTATAACTTTTATCCGAACTGGATTTGGGCTTTAAATCTTAACATATCAGCTGATACAAATCTGCATAAGATTCTGCAACAAAATAGGTCTTCAATCATATTCTTCCTAATTTATCTCCATAATTAGAAAATGCATATTCTTCTTAATTCTGACTTGAATCTTCCATACCTATAAAACAATGTCACATAGGATAGCATAATATTCCCAAAATATTCTGCATCTGTTAAAATATAACAGAATCCAACTGTCCATCCCAGATCAGGCGCGATGTCGTATGATTCTGCATAGAATATCTTATCCGACATGT